CATGTCATTAACCTTTAGCCCACTCATTAGGTCAGTTATTGCCGCGGTAGGTTATTGCTGCGGGGCTTTTGTTTCCAGTACTATATGATGCATTGAGGTAATACATGTGTATACCTTCTCATAGTTTCTTAAGTCGGAAGTCCGCAGTGTTATACCGGAAAAGTGTTTAGGGTGTATAAGTAAAGCCCATCTGTAGAGGTTTTCATAAACACCTCTATATTGACCGCATAAAACATCTTTTCATGAGATGGAGGCAGGATCGTGATATTCTAGCTAATATATTGGCTCAGTGGTTTCTCCATTTTCATTAAGTTACAACTCATGTAATGAGTTCTGTTGCTCAGAAAGAATTGTATAGTATGGATTGTATATATATTACATGTCTAAATAGGATAGTCAGGTATCTCTGTCATCACGAAAGGTCTCTATTGGCTGGTTAGTTACCTCCCATCTCCGGTGGGTTACAGCTGTCGATAGGCAAAGAATTGGGCGCATTAAGGGAGACGACATGTATGTTTTCCTAAGTCATCAAACCATGAGTTCTATCGTGATCAATATATATATATATATAAGTAGGCCCTCTAACCAGTATTATAATTTTCATACTTTCCATCAATAGTTCTTCTCAGTTTCTTCCGGAACTAACACTTCACGCGAGCAAGGGGGGGGGGCCAACATGCCGCGCAGCGGCAGGCGGCCCCGACTGCGTGAGGAATCGATTTATTTCGAACCATTGCACGTATAGAGCTGTATGTATGCTTAATTTGAACTCTTAAATAGAGCTATGAGTTTTCTGGATCCTTACATAAGTACTTTTCTTTTAATATCGGGGGGTTCCTCGAATTACTAATGTTTAATTTTTATATGCGGCCGGAGGCCGCTCCTCACTATGTTGTACATGTATATACATATATATACATGTAACTCTCATGATCAGGGTATTCGCTTCTTCAAATACATGCTAGCGCTCTTATAGGTATGTGTATGTGCTTATATGGACGTGTATTCTGAAATATGTATGAAAAGAAAAATAAGCATCAGCAACCTACCTTATTTTCCAAAATATAGCCTTATATCTGTATCATAAAGATGACTGACTAGTAGGCTAGTACATACTTAATCTATAACAGATTTCCTCCTACAATATATATGGCATGTGCACTCCAGAAGTACTTAGATGTTTGAAGAGTCTACTGCAGCGCCATGCAAGAAGTGTTGTAATGCAGCGTTAGGAAGGCACATGTTCCTAAAAGTGAATACCCCTTCTATGTCAAAACTAAAAGTCCTGGGTATGTAACCCCCAAAACATACCAAAATTGACTTTTGAAGCACTCGCCAGCAATCAACGCTAGTTGGTAGCCCTTAGAATTTCCAATAATACTTAAGTAGTGTTTATGTTACGACACCCTGAAGCTCGATAATTTTGATTGTGTGTGCTGTGGTACCCGCTGGGAGTTGAGTGATATTGTGGATGCCGTACGTACGTACGCCAATACCTCGATTTCCCATGAAAACTTGTTTTCTTAGTATTATCTTAAGGAGTCCTTAAGAAGAGTGTGTCTACACCTGCTATTTTTATGTTATTGAAAATATATTTGATCAGGAAGTGGATGCGTCACCGAATATCACTCGGTAGTTTTGCCACAATCACGGAGTATCACTCGCTTGTTCTCTGCAGGATTAATGTATGGTGCGCCCACTCTTAAAGGTGACCAAAAGTAGCGGAAAGTCAATCGCCGATAACTTTATGACCATGATAGATATCAAAAACTCGGTAAAATAGAAGTATAGTAATAGTGATGAACTTTGGTTCTATTTTACCGAATTTTTGATATCTATCATGGTCATAAAGTTATCAGCGATTGAAAATGGCTGTTTTTGTATGTAAAAAGCGCCAAGACTGAACAAAGTGGAACAGTATTATACCCATTTATACCCCCAGAAAAGCAAACCTGATCGAGTTGTGGTAGTGGTGCTAGAAATGAGCCCTCTGGTTGGCCCAGGAGTCCATATTGCAGCCACAATTGTTCCATATCCATATGCCGCCGTGTCACCATTAAGAGTGTGGGCACCATAGTTTCTCCTTCCCCTTTTTTGTTTAATTCATTAATTTGCAAGGTTAATGCATTTACAACCGATTAAGTTATTAAGTGAGTAAGAATTTACATCAGCTTGGTGATTGAATTTGCTGTAATATGAGCAGCAGTAGAAGGGGAAGATTAGAAGAAAGGGTAAACATAGGCTGGAAAGCCCGGTGTAAGAAACGTAACTAGCAAATCGCAAAAGGATGTACTGGTTTATTCCAGAGGGGTCACGTTTTCTTTCCTTCCATGCCTAAGCTGGTAACCGATTACAATATTTACCGAGTGGATGCAATACATTTACAGCAATAGCTAAACCAGAATTAGAGTACATTTTCGATTAATCGACCTCTTCGATATACGAAGACTCTGCCTTTGCTTTACCTTTCCCCTTTATATCGGCTTCCGTAGCAGTGGTAGTGCCATCGGTGCTATCAGAGTTATTTGCCCTTGCTTGTCTCTCATCCTCTTCGATTTGCTTTAGCTTCTCTTTGCCTTCTTCCGTGGTAGCGTCAATGATCTGGCTTTCAAGCGATAACATGCCCCCCTAGAAATTGGTGAGTATTATTACGTCCAATTATTACTGACGTAGGGATTTACCTCTCCAAGAAGTCCAACAATTTCTTCCGCTTCCTCAACGCTCATTTTTCCAAGTACCTTATTGACTTCGTCTAGACTCCCACTCTCGAGTGCTCTTTGTAGGCCTGGCGGAAAGGATTCGAATATCTTCCTTGAGCCTTGTATTTCCGGGTCTTCCGAGTCAGCCGATGGAACGGCAATGGTGATTTGAGTGTTAGGATCGACAGCGTGCAACTGGATTTGTTCCACTCCGGCAGCTTGGTTATTGCGTTCTTCAGCCATGGTCCTTGCACGTTCACGAATTCGTAGGTAGGTTGTCGAGACATCTTCGTGAAAGACCTTCTGTGCTTGGTGGTTTGGTGTTGTTATACTGGACGCATTGTTATCAGCAAGGATACACGCATGGAATTTCGTAGGATATATACCGTTTGAAAAATAATGCGACACCGTCCCTTCCCAATTGGCGGCAGTATTGTAACAATAGCGCCTGGTGTACGCATTGCTTTGCATACTCATCTTTACCCTCAATCTGAGCATTGAATGCCTCGATCAAGAGCCCATCTGTTTCTCTCTCAGCTACTACTGCTGGATTTCGTGAGACATATTCCATGCACTGCCTATAATCGCCAATCTTAATCTTTGCAAATTCTCGACCCAGTCTTGTCGGCTCAATATGGTCTTCATTATCATCCTCCGCCGATTCTTCCAAATCTGCCTCGGCGCCCGAAGATGTAGAATCATTACGAGATTCTAGGGGTTTAGCACCCGGGTTTAACTGTTCCACGGCGTGTACTTTCTGAGAAGTCTTCTTCTTCTTTTCCGAAGCAGCTGGAAATGGTACAGACTTATTGACATGGCCAGCAGAAAATCCGTCATGGAGCTGATCACTTGTGATCTTTGAACTTTCCTCCTTTTCCAACTCCGCCAATCTTTTACTAGACTGAGCATAAACTTCTGTAAGTTTCACCTTATGTCCTTTAAGCTTATCTAAGAACGCCTTTGCGCGGTCTACCGGGGATTCTTGATCGATTTCTTTCTTTATTGAGTCGACTAATGATGCCATCATTTGTGCATATGTGGGGGTGTTTAGAGGGAGAGGTGGTGTCTTTTGCTCTCCTTCCTCGGACGAAATATCGACAAGAGCTTGGAGTACCACTTCCTCTGGGGATTTAGATGTAGAACTAGATTCCAAAGTGGAAATAAGTTTCGTCAGGCGTTTGAGAAGAACATCATTCATAGAAAGTTCCATGCGTATGTTGGTGATATTTTGTTTGCGTACAGCGCGCGTCTCATGTATCTGACGCCTCTTGGCGTTGATAAAAGAGCGTTTGTCGACATTAGCTATGGACGTTCCTGTCAGCTAGGATTTAAAGAAAAGAGGGGAAGGCCTTTGCGCTTACGGTGGACCTCAATATCAGAGTCATCGGATAATTCAATCCTATTATTTGCGGTTTCGTTAGCTTTAGGGGGCTTGCGTTCTTCCTAACACAGGGGTAGTAGATTGTAAAATGAGAGGAGTACAGAAGAGAGAGGGAAGATACTAAATGAATGAACAAGTTGGAGCACCTACTTATCCCACTTGGAGTAATCAAGAACCATGGCTGATCTTTGTTACTGACTATCGAGATGGACAAGTGAAGGCGGTGTGCTTAAATAGTAGCTACCGATTATCGAAGGCGGATCGCTACAAGGTAAGTGTAGATGGATGGATGGAACGGATAATATAGTGGTAGAAAAAGAACAAAGAGGGGTGGTGATCGTGGGTTTATGTGTTGATGAAAACGATATGGTGCTGATTGTTCGTGGGGAGTGCTTAGGCAGTGTATAAAGTAGGTATTTGAGGAGGAGGGGTCGTGCAGTTAGTTACATACGCAATTGGTCACACTACTGGCAGTGATCAACTGATCGGAGAGATAAGGATAGAGTGGAGGTAACTGATGTCTAAATGCTGTTGGGTGGTTGAGTGAGGACCTGCACCGGTCGACTGCAAAGCTTTATAATTTATAAACGGCTATGTAAACCGTTTCTGTATATACTCAAGAGTGCAGTAGACCATGGCTGCACAGTGTATCGTGAGATCTTGAGTCGTCTAGGCACTTCCATGCATATCATGCATGTTCTCCATCCAACCATGGGTCTTGGCGAAGTTCGGCATTCACCACCCCCACCATCAATAATATACTGTGCTACCTGGTGCTTTCAACCCTCTACCATTTGCCCGCCAAACAGAAGCATCGCCATCGAAAATTCTCGAGGCGATATATTGCTCCTTTCAAACGTTGAGCTATCGAGGCTTCAAAGGCACTCGAGTGTTCGCTTCTTGCGATCAATTTCCATGTCATGCGCTCGTTGATCCCTCTTCTACGCTCAGGGCTCCGAGGCTCCATAGTCTCGCCCCCTAGAGCACTCCTTCCACTACCAGCTTCACAATGCCATTCATATACTACTTCAACTCAATTTAATACCCTTAGATGCTATCCCAAAAAGTCTATTTCATTTCATATTGCTCAATTGCGCCCCCAAAGCGCTCTGAAACCTTTTCCGGGGTTCTTTACACAGAGCCGTGTCACTTGGAATAGCTGGGTCCCAAGAGAACAACGTTACCCATTCTCCACATCACGAAAATCGAACTCACCCCAGCAACCAGATAATAAGGCCAAGAAACAGGATATAACACCGGCAGAAGTTGAAGGTTTTGGACGCTCCGAGAAAGCAACTCGTGCAGCTCAAGTTAATCTTTCGGCAAGGCTCAATAAAGATGGATCACCAAACTCAACTAAACCAGGAATGGGAGAAATTATTCGACTCTTAAAAATTGCCCGTCCAGAGGCGAAATGGCTTGGAGGTGAGTGTTTGAGTATGTTAGGTTTAGCAGTACATTTGAATTCTAAAAGCGAATTCCAGTTGCCTTTGTCTTTCTATTGGTTAGCTCTACCATTACGATGTCCATTCCGTAAGTATTCACCGAAAAAAATGCACGAGGATATGTAGTCATACTAAAAATGTTCAAACAAGCTTCTCTATTGGAAAAATATTGGATATGGCAACAAAGCCTGAAGGAGAAGCTGGAACATTGTTTGGATTGGCACTTCCACAATTTTACATGGCTCTCGCAGGGGTATAGCACATTCCACATATTTTTAGGCGTGAACGGCGGGTTAATATTGATCCAGGTTTTAATTATGGGCGCTGGGGCCAACTATGCGCGCATAATTCTCCTTCGTATTGTTGGTGAACGTATTGTTGCCCGTCTTCGGTCTCAACTATTTCGTCGAACCTACGTCCAGAACGCCGAATTTTTCGATGCAAATCGTGTAGGAGATTTGATTTCACGTCTTTCTTCCGACACTGTGGTCGTTGGTAAAAGCATCACTCAAAATATCTCTGATGGTCTCCGAGCCCTTGTCACTGGTGGTGCTGGCTTAGGATTAATGGCATACGTGAGCTTAAAGTTGACCGCGGTTATGACTATCATGTTCCCCCCAATCGCTATCGGCGCTTTCTTTTACGGAAGGAGTATTCGAAATTTGAGTAGAAAGATTCAACGAAATGTCGGAACCTTGACAAAAATTGCCGAAGAGCGTCTCGGCAACGTCAGGACGAGTCAAGCATTTGCTGGGGAGATCTTGGAAGTTGGGAGGTATAATCGCCAAGTTAAAAAGATCTTCGGGCTCGGAAAACGAGAGGCTTTGATCAGTGCAACCTTTTTCAGCAGCGTAAGCAAGCCTCTCTATGGATGAAAGAAAGTGGGCGGATGATTATTCGTGGCGCTTTCTTCCCTAATTTCCTACTAAGGGATGTGGTTTTTAGACAGGATTGATCGGAAATATGACTATTCTTGCAATCCTTTACATTGGTGGCGAACAGGTGAAGTCAGGTGCGATTAGCATCGGTGAATTGTCTTCGTTTTTGATGTAAACCCTTATCAACGCCCCCTCAAGAGGTTTTTCTAAGCGAAAATTAGGTACACCGCATACGCTGGGTCAAGTCTTTTTGGACTGTCAAGCTTTTACTCCGAACTCATGAAAGGGGTGGGCGCTGCTAGCCGTTTGTTTGAGCTGCAAGACAGAAAGCCATCAATTTCCCCTACAGGTCAGCTCCTTTTATCTTGGCGGTATTTGAATATTCTCGGGTCTCGTGGTTTATCTATCGTGGAGATAAAAACTCTCTAAAGATGAACCACGGTGCCCAGGGACCTTTGGAGGATATTGGTAATACCGCTGGAGTTTCATTTATGACTGACTTCCATACTAGCTGGAAAGCCTGTCACATCGGCCCGTGGAACCATAAAATTTGAAGATATTGTTTTTAGCTATCCGACCCGCCCGGCAGTCAATATTTTCGACGGATTGAATTTTGAAATTCCTCCGGGTACAAATGTTGCTATCGTCGGTTCCTCTGGGGGTGGAAAATCTACAATTAGTAAACGATTCATTTACTTCTTTTCTTCTTTTTTCTTCTTTTTTCTTTCTTTTTCGGTTAATGGAGTTCTAATCCCAATTTATAGGCTCTCTACTTCTCAGATTTTATGCACCTGCATCTGGTTCAATCAGAATCAATGACGTAGACATTTCGACATTTAACCTCAAGTCACTACGTCGAAGAATTGGTGTCGTTGCCCAGGAACCCGTCCTCTTTTCCGGAACGATTGCCGAAAACATCGCTTATGGAAAGCCCAATGCAACAAGGGCGGAGATCATTACTGCTGCAAGGAAGGCAAACTGCCAGTTTATCTCCGATTTTCCGGATGGCCTCGAAACCTCTGTAGGTGCTCGCGGTGCCATGCTTTCCGGGGGACAGAAGCAGCGCATTGCTATTGCTCGAGCTCTTGTTAAAGATCCCGATATTCTCATTCTCGACGAAGCTACTTCAGCCCTAGATGCCGAGTCTGAAACCGCTGTAAACGAAGCCTTGACGAAACTCATGCGTTCGTCCTGTACAACTATTAGTATTGCCCATAGGCTTTCAACTATCAAGAGAAGCGATCGAATCATTGTGCTGGGTTCTGATGGACGAGTTGCGGAACAAGGAACGTTCAAGGAACTGAGTTCGAGAGATGGCCCTTTTAGTAAGCTTATGGAATGGCAACTTCACGGAGGGGAAATCTCTCCAAGACCGCCACACGGTCTACCAATTGAAGCTGAAGCATTGATGGAAGAGGCGGAGGAAACAGAGGAGACGATAGTTGAAGATGACGAGGAAGAATCTCTGAAGGCCAAGGGTTCATCGGATAACGATTCACATCAACGTTGATGATCCTGAGTTTATTTTTGGACGGTCGTGAAAAGAGTGAGGTATGCGTACACACGCACACACACACGCCGGCACATATACACATACACACATATATACATAGACTGGTTGGGCTATAAAAGTTAATTTTACAACGAATTTAGTGGTTTGGTGGTTTGGGGGGGAGGGGGTTGTAAAATCAGTAGCAAGTAGCTGGCCGTGTTAATTTTCCCTGTTTTCACTTATATACCGAACGTAATTCGGCCAGGGGAAGATCACCTATACCCGGTAAGAGTTTTGTATAAGGTTGAGGGTTGTTTGTACATACATACATATGTACATACAGACAAGTTTGTCATTCGATGTATTATAGAGTAATACTCCGCTCAAGATTATGTTCCCAGCGTTTAGTGACCACTTCTCTCGTAGTTCGCTAACAACTTTCAAGCTGCACCACCCGATACCGGCCACAGGGTTAGGTTTAGTTTTTTGTATCCCTTAAGCCGTCAGGACAGATTTCAATCTCGTTACTCATACCTAATGCGGAAGTCGTGATATGAACCTCGCAGAGAAATGATCATGGTGCGTAGCTGCTCACGCTAGTTCTTATCATTAAACCGTGATAGATCACCTCATCATGATCACTTCTCTGCGAGGTTCATATCACGACTTCTGCATTAGGTATGAGTAACGAGATTGAAATCGGTCCTGACAACTTAAGGGATAAATCACAGTCGTATATGAAAGCATACCGAAATTGGACAAAATCGGAAATCCTCCTAGCCTTCAATTGTCTAGCGAACCATAAACCCCACGGAAGCAACTACATGTACATGTAGTTTTTATGGAACGAAATTCTAAAGCCTCCTGTAGAAAACAATTTGTCCTGATAGTATTGTGTGCATGGCCGTTCTGAATAACATTGCTAGAGTAGATTCCTTAATCCACATTGTTCTTCAATTTTGATTTTATGTTCCTATTTTTAAGTATCCATTCTGTTATGTACTAGCAAATACATACATGTACCGTAAAATCTGAGAAATTTCGTTGCGCTGTAGCGGGATCTTTTACACCAAAACTTGCAGATTGACGTTAAAAGACTGCCTCTGATAGGTTTATATGCGCATTTATTCCTGCTACAGCGCAACGAAATTTCTCAGATTTTATGGTATACATGTACATGTATGTAGTATACATGTATGCATGCTTCACGGTGACTCCGGTGTGCCCATGGAAGGGAAACAAACCTAACCCTCTGCAAAATTCACGAGAGACTAACGGCAATTTTGGATCAAGCTATACTTACTCAGGTTAGCTATAGACTAAATACAGCTTATCGCAGCAGTACTACATGTACCGGGTGTTGAGGGTAAGTGATCAGAATCTGATAAGTGGATGTTGCGGTGAGTACGTGTATTTGTCTTATCAGATTCTGATCACTTCTCGCTACACCCTAGTACTCTAGGTATGGAGTGGTCTTGTTCTCCGAGCGCACACACGGGTTTTGAGCAGCAGGGTAACTTGGTCTGTTTCACAGAGTCGCCAAGTCTGCCAATTAATCCTCAAAAAAAAATATACCCCGAACCTTATTCGAGAATTCATTCAACCCACAATTTAACAATGAAGCGAAAACATGGCGAAGATGAAACCACGGCGATAGCTGACGAGTCAACACTTGACTCAAATTCCTCCTTTTCCAGTCTAGGCCTAGATGCTAGATTATTACAAGGTATCGCAAAATTGAACTTTGCGCATCCTACATTGGTACAGGCGAAAGCTATTCCTCTGGCATTGGAAGGAAAGGATATTTTAGGTACTAGTCTTTCAAGTCCCTATTAAAAGGAGCGGCTTGAGAGTGTTCCTAAAGCTAGAGTGAAGACTGACAATAGTTTGTGTCTAGCTAGAGCAAAAACCGGTTCCGGGAAGACAGCAGCATATTTATTACCAATACTCCAAGCAATACTCAAACGGAAAGAGGTACTTCATGTCGATGCGACAAACCTATCTCTATAACAGGCTAACTTAAAATTTGTGGGACTATAGAGTTCTCCGGACGAAAAGTTCACAAGTGCCCTGGTCCTCGTTCCAACGAGGGAACTTGCACAACAGGTTCACAGGACCACCGAGAAACTTGCAGCTTACTGCGCGAAAGAAATTAGAGCTGTAAACATAGCCCAAAATGTGTCGGAACAGGTTCAACAGTAAGGACCTTTTTTTTTCTTCAAAATTACCAGATTTCCAATACCATGAGTGTTCTACAGAACTATAAAGAAGTAGAGCGCTAACATGGTCGTCTTTCTTGAAATATCCAGGTCTCTGCTCGCCGAAAGACCGGATATAGTCATTGCTACACCTTCCCGTGCTCTCGTCCACAGCAATCTTTCAGCGCATGTCCTTACATCAAAGGTTACCCACCTTGTAATTGACGAGGCTGATCTAGTGTTATCGTATGGATACGATGATGATTTACAAGCTGTGGCAAAGGCACTGCCAAAGGGCCTTCAGACGTTTCTCATGAGTGCTACATTAACTGCGGAAGTCGAAACATTAAAAGCGCTTTTTTGTCGGAGTCCAGTAATACTACGGTTGGAGGAGAATGAGGCAGAAGACGGAGAAGGCGTGAGTCAATTTGTGGTCAAGTATGTCCTACAGAATTGAACTCTGATTTATAGACACATAATGGTTGACTAACTAACCAACCAATTGTGAGGGAAATAGGTGTGGAGAAGATGAGAAATTTCTGCTGGCCTACGTGATTTTCAAGCTCAAGCTCATAAAGGGGAAGTGCATCATCTTTGTTGGCGATATAGATCGGTGCTACCGTCTCAAGCTCTTCTTGGAACAGTTTGGGATACGAAGTTGCGTCCTCAACTCAGAGCTACCCGTCAATTCTCGTCTTCATATCGTGGATGAATTCAATAAGAATGTTTACGAAATAATCATCGCCACGGACGAAAACGAAATTTTAGGAGACGAAGATGAGGAAGACGAAGGGAGAGAACTAGACGAGAATGAAGCAACACCACACAGGGCCTCAAAAGCCCTTAATGATGAAGTAAAGGGAATAGAGGTAGCAGTATCCAAAATGTCTCTGAAGAAAAAACGAAGGAAGGTTCGCCGGGACAAGGAATACGGCGTCTCCCGCGGCATCGACTTTCAAAACGTCGCCTGCGTCCTCAATTTCGATCTTCCAACGACCTCCAAGTCCTATACACATCGTATTGGCCGTACCGCACGCGCAGGAAAGACTGGCATGGCGCTTTCTTTCGCTATCCCTGCGGAGCTTTTCCGAAAACACAAACCTACCAGCTTCTCAACCTGTGGGAATGATGAGAAAGTACTTGCAAAGATTATTAGACACCAGAAAAAGCGTGGGAAAGAGGTGAAACCTTATCACTTCGATATGAAGCAAGTCGATGCATTCAGGTATCGTATGGACGATGCGCTCCGTGCCGTGACCCGTGTTGCTATCCGCGAGGCTCGTACACGGGAGATTCGGCAAGAGCTTTTGGCTAGCGAGAAATTGAAGCGTCATTTCGAGGAAAATCCAGAAGATTTAATTCACTTGAGGCACGATGGCGAGCTGAGAGCTGCAAGGATTCAGCCACACTTGAAGCACGTCCCTGATTACCTTCTTCCAACAACTGGGAAGGCTGTTCTCTCTTCTGGATCTTTGGATTCCACCGGTAGAGGAGGCTTTGTGGGTATCAGGAAGAGCAGCGACAACAGAATCAGGAAGGCCAGGATGAAGAAGACAGGCAAGGCCGGAGGGAAAAGTGCTGGAGCTGGGGGCAGGGATCCATTAAAAATGTTTAGAGGTGGGAAAAAGTAATGATAGTGAATAACTTAAGCGTATACATGAGCTAGTGAAGTCACTAGGAAAATTGAGTTAATTCAGAGGCGATTTAATTGAGCTTATCAACTTATTTCAAACTACCTAATGCTTAACTTCGTATATAGATTACGGGGTATTGAAAGCTGGGATGAGAAGTTATTAGTGATTTAATGCGAAGGCAGTGTTGGAAGTAAATACGATATCGGAGATAATGTTATATGTTAACGATTTCTGGTTGAGGTATGGTAGACCTTTATAAATTTTTCTTAAATCCTGCCAATCAAGTAGAGAAAAAAGAGGGATAAATTATGTAAATTATGTAGGTGAGAGGCTTGAGGTTTTTTTTTTTTAAATACCATACGCTCCTCCCCAATTTTCGCAGGTTTTATGCCAACTGCAGCCGACCGGATCGAAGATGCTTGACGCACTATAATGCTTCACACTGCACTCAAAGTACCGGTGATATCAATATGTTCCTATAGCGGTGTTAACGCTCGAAACTCTAACTCAGTAGTAAAACTTCCTCGTATGGTAAAAACGGCCGTTCCTTGAAAATGACAAAAGGGCAATATTAAACCTTCTCACCATTGCTATATTCATCTAACAGGATGCGTCTTTTATACACTTCTTCTTTTATATATATTACGAGAAATTTAATACTCATAACACTATGTCGTCATGAGTTCTCACTCGATACCCATTCTGGCGGGAATGCTAGATCCATAAAACCTTCCCCCTGAAGCAAGTACCCTCCGTCGAGAAGGGGTTCCCTTTTCTATCATCACTTAGCACACTGATCTGTCTGAGAGATCTCGGTTCATGATCACCGATTTCTCATGCGTAAAGGGGGGGGGGGGGGGGGGGGGGGCGGTGTGTGCTATCAATGGTGGAGCGTCGTCATCATCATCAGGTTTGCAAAGCTTTAGAGCCCGTCCATAAATCTTAAAGCGCGGGACCGGCCCCCCCCCAACCCCCCCTTCCAGCGTACACCCAAGTATGAATAAGCCCTAGCGCATTCCAAGCAATGAATTCTTCCAAGGTTTTCGGGCATATAATTATATAAATTAGAGTTGAGTGAAGAATGTGTCTGAAACTCCGCAAACCTGGTTAACGCAAGCTAGCGAAGATTTGGCACTCTGTATTCATCCTATATATATCATGGTCAACTGTAGTATAAATTACCAGGACAAGTGGGGGTTAGCAAATAACGGCTATTGATTGGTATGAATAGGAGGGAAGCACATAGACTGTGGGGACAGCTTTAAAGAGCAAAAGATGGGTTGACTGATTGTGTCTGGCTTTTACCCTTTTGGGGAAAGTCTTCGGAAAAGTATTAATTACAAGTACAAGAAAGAGCTTCCCTGGCCTTCTATATCCACCACCAATCTCCTCTTCCAGCCTATACCCAGGGGGGAAACTTCTCCACATGTAGAGTGACGGGTAATCTCTATCCAGGTCCCAGAATATTGATATTCTGCTTGAGCAATATACATGACTGCCACCGGTACTTAATTGTGATATACGAAGTTACCCTAGATGCGACAAAGATATGGAAACAGCTTGCAAAATAGAGTCACGAAAGGGAAGGACGCAGTGAGGAAGCCGAAGAAGAGAGAAGGGAATTGGGCTACGGATGGGGAACGCTGAAGGATGCAAGGGACGAGGAGTAACGAGTTTCTATTTTCTATTTTCTAGTATTTCCTTACGATGAGAGGTGGTGGAGGCAGAGAGGTGGTCTGGGGACAACTGTAAGGCCGCATGCAATTAATGAATTAAACCCCCCCCCCAAAAAAAAAGGTTACCCTAGATCTTACCTATACCAGGCGGGCGGCCACTCGTGTTACTACATGTATGATTTCCTAACCTTTTTTTTTTTAGCCCCTTTCTATATCTATTGTATACATGTACATACTAATTACTAGTCTCGTGCCCAGCCTGTGTTTTCTTTGATTCTACGCACAGCGACAACAAAGTCTGGGAACGATACTAATTACCTACTTACAGCCGTTTCATACAATTAGGCCGGCTGAGCGTCGCAACACATACATGTAGTGTGAATCTGACGTTTCTGCCGTATTGCCTAATGAAGCTATGGGAATTACTTAGAGAGGTAATCGACTGAAGATTGACACTACATGTATGCATTACGACGCTCAGCCGGGCCTTGAAAACGGCTGTAAATGTAACATTGCGAGACGATAACACTGCGACAAAATGAGTGAAAATCATATACTTTATGTATCACCGTATTTGAAGACGTTTTACGGTTTGAATTCAACCAGACCCTAACGACTTACTTCACTGAACCCCCGCAAGAATAATCTCCCAGCCTATAATTATATTTTCCCTTGTCCTCAAGATTTGGGCAAGGAATGGAGGAGTGGGCAAGGCAGGAAGAAAAGAAGAAAAGAAGAAAACCCATAGTTTACAAAAAGCATATCAAGGTGCGAGGCGTCATGACCTACTGTCAAAGATAGTGTAAATCATCCCATCAACGTTCAATTTTTATTGCCACCATTGCACGTTCCCGCACTCGACGTCTACCCTTCGCCTTCGCTAGGTTATCCTCCAATGCGGGAACGAATCGGCGGTATGCCGGGGGCTCGTCTTTCACAGGAATTGGAGGCGGGCGAGGCATGTTCGGGTCAGGAGGGGGGAGAGGTGCATGCTTTTTCGGCTTGATGACTAGAAGAATAATCATGCCGACTACCAAGAGCAGTAAAAGTAATATTGCCTTTCGTTTAGTTGTTCTGCGCTGATAACCAGAAGCCTGTTGTGCATTTATGAGTTCTACAGATCCCTGATGACCAAAATGTAGACAGGAAACAAACCACTGTCATTTCTTTGTCTGCAGCTTTAATATGTACGCTCATCTGTTCGACATTGTAGTCTATCCTGTCAAGTAATGTACCTTGGTCTATTACCATGGTCTGCAATTCTTTAAATATATCGGCGAGTTCTATAATCCCTTTTGCAATGTCCGTGATCTCTCGCTCCCGTTGCATGATAGCAGCATCGTTCGAGGTCAGAGTAGCCGACTGCTGCAGCGCTGACTGCGAGAATGAGATATCTGCGGAAGGATCCGAGTCTTGGTAAAGTTGAGATGGTGAACCAGCGCGATCCAGCGGCGTCGTCATCCCGGAGAGGCCGCGGAGTTCTTAGAGTTTAAAATCAGTACTTCACTTTTACTTCCTGACATTCCCGACACCCCGGCGTGCAAATTGAAACATACTTTTAAGATAAGCCGATTGCTTCTTTCTAAATGACGTACTTGCTTCTTGAACCTTGGTCGCTAGATTTATCTGAATATTCTTGCTCATGGCCTCTTCTGCTCTAGACACCTCGCCGGCCGCACTATTCACCATGATTTGCACTTTGCGTATCTTATTTTGACACTGGTGAAATGCGCTCGTGATTTCGGTTGTTAGTCTTTCAATTTCCCCCTCTTCCGCTGACCGATTGTCATCGAATCCAGGCAGAACGTGTTTTTGGTGCAACTTGTCCAGCTTGGCAGACTTGCGTGCTATGTCCACCAAAATTTCGTTGACGTCGTCGGAAACATCGGCCCACCGTGGGGGGAGTAAATCCATCTCAATGATTGTGTCTCCATTATTGGAGAATGTGTCTTCGGCGTCATTAGATGAGATGAGGCCACGACGCTCTTCGTCCGTGTGGAAGCCGGGGGAGAATGCACCCGCAGAGGGGCCGAAACGAGGGCGTTTAGCTGGGTGGTGGGAGTAAGACTGGCGATAGGAGATGTATCTTTGGGAGAATAGGTAGTTAGATAATAGGTGGAGCAAAAAGACACGAATCTCATCTCACAGGTTGGTTCTATCCCGCCACATTGGCTTGTAGGTGCGCCAGTGGTGATATTTAGGTTAACACAAGACAGAGGGTTCTGCCAACTGCTATTTCAGGAGGGGGTGGGTTTAATAAAGTTGACGATGCTATGTATCTATGGCCGGGTTTTGGTCCGCAGATATGGAAAGTGCAACACCTCTTCAAAGGGAATACAGCTGCAGGCGAGGGTCCTTCCTTGCTTGCGTCTAGGGGATTTGTTGTTTAGTTTTAGCAAGAAGTTTGCGGGGGGTTAACAATTGAAGTCTACTCTATTCGCGGATCTTCTTAGTGTCGGAAGTGTGAAAGAGGCTCAGCTGTGATCCATTGGGGTATTGGTATCTTGGTATCTACTCGGGTGTAGCAATAAGAACCAGAACATGCAAGTGAAGAGACTGGGATTATATGGAGTGGCGCCGCTCTGCCATACAAATAACCTCATGGCATGTTCTGGTTCTAACCCTTGTACCCGAGTACTACATTATGCGTCTTCGCCAAGGATTCGCACCTGACTTAATGCATTTTGATACTTCGATTAGTTACACGGTAGTCAAGAGCTTTGCACTTAAGTTACATATCGTTCCCGGCATCGTACACCAATGTGAGCTTATTTAAATATACGGGTAGATAGGGCTACATGTATGTACTAAAAATACGTACACAAGTTACTCTCCTCACGTAACCATGTAACCCCTAAAGACTCCCCATTGCTGACAGCTTGTTCATCGTTTTAGTTGAATTCAGAGTGTTAGGTACAATTGGAATGTAAAGATAGAACGGCTAAACGTATAGCGACCAAGATGCCTTTAAAACACGTGACAATCGCGAACCTTGATTAACTAACAGAGACAACCCTCTTGTCAACATGGTCCCTACACTACGTACCAACTAGATACATGTAGTGTGATTAAAAGTAGCCCGGTTCTGTTAAAGTAGAGAGGAGGAGCAGGGGAACCATCTAATATGTAGAGCCGATCAAAATAACTTGTAGTGCACGTGGTTGAGAAGTGTTAATGCCTGGGTCTGAAATCGCATATACATGTAGTTAAAATCATATGTCTCTATGCCAAATACTCGTTTTTCCTGACGTTTGTGGACGTGACAAATATTGCATACCATACAAAAATACGCCAAGCTCATGATTTTTGGTGTATGCAATAGTGGCCCAGCTCAAAAACTTCAGGAAGAGACGAGTATGGTGGCGGACACGACAACGGGGTCGGTAGAAGCAGAAGAACGCCAAATCTATCTCTTCACCACAAATCAATGATTTTTGAATTCAGCCACTGTACTTCTGTAGAGAATCAGTAGGAGAATCAAAGTACGGTCTGCAAATTAAATTAGGTTGTGTTGTGTTGAGAAAAAAGGATTTCAATTTTGTTAGGCAGGACAAAGTTTGTTACCCATACAAATTTGTTAAGGCCGAATTGAAATACTCACGAGCCAGCACTCGATCTGTTCTTATTAGGCTTAATAAATTCCCTAAAAGGGACTGATCAGCGCCTGGAACTTTGTTACTTCTGCCAAGACCGACCCCGTTGTCGTGTCCGCCACCATACTCCCAATTGTACATGTATAACGTACCTTTGCAGCCCAAACACATCATTAGGTTGGGACGGTTTTTACCGGTATTAGAGTAATGGCATGCCGGCATCGATTAGTCTCGGTTCTATTCCGCTTTCCATAACTATGAAAACTATATGGATCTACATGTATTCACGTTATGTAGATATATATACACATTTACGAATATAGCTTCGAATCTTCAACACAGCAGAAACCAGCAAAGCCGCACGAGTAGCTTGCATGTTAATTTACAGGTATGTACATGTACCCGTGCGTCTTCGCCAAGGATTTTCACGTGACTGAGAGATCAAGGCGTTTGACCAATTGAAACACCGAAATCCCTTTCTTCACCGAGTCAGGTGAAAATTCTTGGCGAAGACGCGCGAGTAATCATGCGGTTTTACTACATGCAGATAGTAGCATGTTCTGGATCTGGATAGGTCCTATGTTGTGTATGTAGATCTTTAGTCAACTACAAAAAGGAATGGCAGACTGGCGTTCGATGTAAGTAAATGTATGTACATGTAGTCCTCGATAGTTGTAGATTAAGTGACTACATGTACCGGGTGTTGAGGGTAAGTGATCAGAATCTGATAAGTGAATGTTACGGTGAATAGGTGTATTTGTCTTATCAGATTCTGATCACTTTTCGCTACACCCTAGTACATGTACTCTATTGAGACTCTGTATAGGTATTCTGTTCTGATGTATTTCTGTTTATCTGCTCTTGGCATACAGTTCTGTGCAAGCGTCCGCCTAGAAATTGTCTTGCGTCTTGGCATGCTAGTGTGAAGTTGGTGTAACTGGTTTCTCACCAAGCTAAGACTATTTAGTTTGCTGAGCTCTATGCCCACCAATGGAGGTCAGCGGCATGGGTTCCAGAAAGGGGAGCGCGGGGCACTATGCTTCAGCCCTGAAAGAGTTCTTGGCACTTCCTTCCCCCTCTTCCCCTCCACAAGCCAGCTCTTAGTTTGTCTCCTGTTTCTTCAACTCCTCTTCTCCTCCCGCACCCTCTTCATCACAAGAGACTCCCATCAACCATCTACACCTCACGAATCTTTCACCCCCACAATTTCATCACCACGAGCATAATCCAATATGGTATGTTCTCTACCTTCCTTGGCCTGGGCACTGCATGGCTGTAGCTGCCCCGCCTTTCGTTCACAACATCACTTGCTCTAGTAAAGAGGCATTAAAGCTGATAATGGTGTGCCATAAAAGGCCGATTCACTTTCTGAAGACCAGGTCTCCGAGTTCAAGGAAGCGTTCTCCTTGTTTGTAAGTGTTATCTCCGATTCTATCCCTGATCTGAGTATCACGTCAATAATCCTTTTTATTTTTGAGAATTTACTAACTTGACTGTTAATGTGCAGGACAAAGATGGTGATGGTTAGTAATCTATAGATTCACCTATCTACCGTTGTAAAGCATGCGATGCTTGTGATGGATGCGAATAGCTCCGATCAAGCTTCTGATAGTCGATATCCCGCCGAGAAACAGGGCTAATTGGGGGTTCAACTTGGCAGGCCAAATCACCACTAAGGAATTAGGAACCGTCATGAGAAGCTTAGGACAGAACCCTTCCGAGTCTGAACTCCAGGACATGATCAATGAGGTTGATGCCGACAACAATGGGACTATCGATTTTCCTGGTAATTTGTCTCACTGACTATAACTAGCTGGCACATGTCCTAATATTATAAATCTAGAATTCTTAACCATGATGGCTCGTAAGATGAAGGACACAGACAGCGAAGAGGAAATTAGAGGTATGAATTACTCAGTTCAACCCTAAGCACTATAACTGACTTGTTCCTTTCTTTAAAGAGGCCTTCAAAGTCTTCGACCGTGACAACAATGGATTCATTTCCGCCGCCGAACTAAGGCACGTAATGACTTCCATCGGGGAGAAGCTCACCGACGATGAGGTCGATGAGATGATCAGGGAAGCAGATCAAGACGGTGATGGAAGAATCGATTGTATGTCCAAACTATTCCCCCCTCTCAGCTCAGTCCACTGACACTAACAATCATTGTAGACAACGAATTTGTACAGCTTATGATGCAGAAATAAACTGAACATGCACGCGGAAGGAAACAGTTGTAATCATCTGGGCTGCACAACCAGGCTAAAACCACAGGAATAATTTAGGAAATTGAGAGTTGGAATACTCCTACAATGAATCGTCTTTAATTTTTCTCTCATATCTTTTATCCCAACATGCACTTTGAAAGAGCCCTAGAGTACCGATCAGTACCTCCGTAGCGCCGTTTTGAAGGGTTATTTCCAACACGGAGTATTCCTTTTACTTCTTTTTAACTTATTGCCTTGATTTTCTCTTTGTGCCCGTTACATATTGTTTTTGTCTATTGATCGGCTCTTGATTTTACTTCCCTTTTAGGATTATCGATTTTTCCAGAACGTCTGTTGTACCTACACTCTCACTTTTCATAATAAAGCAAGATCTCCATGGAGCATAAACTTAACCAAAAGACTATGTGAAGAACAAGTCTAAATGAAAACACAGATTATATATAAGACCCATCCATGCGCCAAAAAGTAATACCAACTCTTGATTATCAAAAGTTATAGCAATCATTTCAGCACAGGCTACTTCTGTAGATGGGAGGTCCGTCTGCCAGAGTCCATCAGAAACAAATCAAAGAATGAAAATACAATTATATTATACAGATGAATCTCTTGGGTACCATTTGTCTCGATTTCACCTTGAACCCCATCCAGCCATTGTTTTTCCTCTTATCCCTATACCCGCTGCAATAACTACAATCTCTTCCATCCTCATCTTCCCTGCCTCAAACACCTCATGGACCAGGGCCATGACTACCTTGTAATCACCTCGACATATTTCCCACCGCTGCTTATCTACGCAATCCCAGGTATTTTCGATAACGCGAAGCTCTAGATCCATCTTCTGAACTCCCTCCTGAGCTTGAACACATAATCTCCGGAGATCATTTTCAAATGATTGGAGCGAACGACGAGTATTTGAAGGAGGTTGATCCGAGGATGTCAGCAAAGATAACAAGCAGCGTAATATGTTTGTGACCGTTGGTATATGATCCTGAATCACTTTTTCGAGGGCGAGGTGGGTTGCGTTTCCAGCAGGATGACGAGGAACCGGTTGTACCGACCGAGATCGCGAGCAAGCAGTAGGCATTTTTTTTCTTTCCCTTTTGCTTTTTCCCAGTATTTTTTGTTCAGCCGATAGGTTGATTATTCGGACCGTTGGTTTCAGCGTGCGGATGGATGAGAGTGAGAAACGTAGAAGTTATAGATAGTTCTCCGACGTTGCGACACAAAACACGGAAGTTGAATTATTTAAGTAGCTTTGGTGAGAATTTAGGTATGTTGCAAGTTTACAAAGAAAAAAACCACAGGTAGATTTAGAGCGGCTGCTGTACTGATAACCACCACGTTCAGTTTTCAATGATCAAAAACAAATTAGATATCTTGCAGGGCAAAAACTTAAATAAGTAGCCACGGATGATAGTAGGAAGAGTCTTATAATTATCAGATCACCAGCGACGACATGACCAAACCCCCTTTCCGTTTCATCTTTGTCACTGTATCTTCGATCCGCGATCTTGATCACCGAGCGGTCTGATGTGCTAGCATGTCAATCAATGCAACCACCTAACAAATAATGTCCAAACACCCAGGTGCCGAAGAGGAGAATGAACATATCTATAGGTAGGGCCTGTGAGGGGGAGGTGTGGTCATAAATCCAGTAAAACCCGTGCATTTGACCGGTTTCATATTCACAGTGATCGGTGCCTGGTGGTGAACTTGTCGCGGCAATGAATGAAATGACCGATTCTCCCTGATCAGGCCGATTCGGCCGTTGCCAAAAGAAGCGGTGGGATGGAAAAGTCTTATGAGTTTAGAGAGATTATCTATCTACCCGTCTGCGTGGCAGGCCAGGTATTGTGCTTGGTCCGGCGCATATCGACCCCAGGATCTCATAAGCCTTATCTATTACTGGACTAAGATCAATGCTCACAAAGTCTTGTCACGCAACAAGCCAAGATCGATTCGTTCGGTTGAAATAATCACATAGACCTTGCGTCGCGCTTACTCTCAGGTATGAAAAGGTAATAAGTAGCAGTGCCATCGGGCTAGAAAGCTCAACATCAGTATGAGCTCGGCAAAGAATTATTACGCAGAGAGCCATAACTCTCATAGGGAGTGCAGAACGCCAAATGGAGAGTTAGTGGACATAAGATAAACGCTATCTATGTTCACCGCGAACAAATACCACTATGGTTGCATAATGCTTTTCGGCCCTACTTTCAGCACTTGATATTGCGTCAGCAACCACAACATTTAATTATTTTAGCTCCGTAAGAATGATCTTAGTTTGTTCTGTACAGCTTGTAAATATAATGGGTGGTGGTCGAGCAATTGAATTTTCGAAGGTTGAGTTTTATGTATAACCACTCAGCAAAGTGTTCGTGATTTAGTTTTAACGTCAGTGCGCAGTGTGGCGCACCGAAAACTATCCAATTCGCGACCTGGTCCATGCCACCTGTACTAACCGGTTCTGTAGGTCATGTGATATCAGACTGACAGGTCACGAAGAGGTGAGAATTAATGATATTTGAACGACAGCGGGATTCTGAGGGTAAATAAGATGAAATTTAGCCCACAGGAACAGCGCACTGCTCATGATATTGTACAAATCAAGCGGAACACAGAACAAAGGTACAGATATTACAAGAAAAGTGAGAAGTAGGTGCCCGCTGTCCTTTCTTTCCCTCTCCTCAGTTTCAACCTACATGATTCGCACTCCTTCCTTCTCAACCTTACTTTGGCATGGTTCTTGTGACTGAAAACAGGTGGAGGTAATTCCAACACTTTATATACTTTATTGTACCAGATAACTGTAGCTTTTCTTTGATACCAACGCTTCTTTCTGAAAATGACTGATGACGGCTTGACATGTTTCCCGAAGATTTGACTTGACAGAAGAAGGCGGAATTCCTTGTGAAGCATGAGTCTTCCTAAAGCACGAGCCTGTAGAAAAATATATAAAAGGAAACAATTTACAATAATAATATCTAGGAGTGAAATAGAAAAATGGTAACCAGTTTTTTCTCGCATTGAGCTGTGTGAATAAGTAGCTGCCGTATTGATCTGCAATATTTACTCCTCCTTTGTGAAAGTTGTAGTCATCAATCATGGTAAAAGTAGGTATATTCATTTTAGTTATGTCTACAGATGCAGGCCAGTTTAGAGGTCGACTAGTACTGATAGATATTGGACACTTTCTTATTAAAGTAACTCTATCTAATGTAACAGAGCCATTACATCCTTACTAAGTTCAGATGATTACCTCCAAGTGGAAGGGAAGCAATACATCAGTAAGCTGGCGTCCACCTCCGGGGGATTGTCCCTTTCTCCAGAGGTTGATGCCAAGACAACTAGTCTCCCTACCCCTCATATGGCTCCTCACCACCTCGCGTGATCCGTTGAAACTCCGGAGTAACCTGGCACTCTCTGGAGAACTCTCCGCCTCAATTTCTTCTCTTGAGTCTCTCCCGCTTCCTCTTTAACCAGGCTTCTCGAGCCTTCTAAAAGGCTTCCTAGACATTTCAGCGGGCCTCTCGAGCTTCTCACAACCCTCCCCAGCCACTCGACACCCTTAGACCACTCCCCAACAGGCTCCGCGAGCCTCCCAAAAAGCCTCTTGAGCCCCCTCAACCTCTCTCAAGGCCCCGACTCGTCTTATAAATCTATAGGCTTCTCGAGCCCCACAAACGCTCTTCAAGCCCCACTTAGCCACTCTCTAGGCGCCTCACGCCCCCCCTTAAACCCCCCAAAATCTATCCAACAGGCCCCTCGAGCCTTCCAAAAAGCCCCTCGCGCCACTCCTGATCTCTCAAGCCGCCCGGCTAGTTACAAAACCTAACACCTAACACTTTTACTTGAGCCTTTACCAGCCCTTGGATTTCTTATCTGTTGAATCTTATATTGCCCATGTATATACATATTGTTTAAGAGGACCAGTCGTCAGAAGCATTTGCCTAGGCTCCTTAAGCCCTCGTTAACCTTATATATGGAATTCGTTCCAAGTTCTTAAATCTACTCTAGTGTTTACCAGCCATTGTCCCTGCCCCAATTCGAACAAATGTGCCATTCCCAAGACGCTACGAGTATTAATTATCCAAAATCTTTGCCGGGAGCGCCTCGCGACTCTTAGAAGTCCATGCGAGCCTTCAGGAAGGCCCCTGTCCCTTGCCTCCAGCAGCTCAACCAAGCAAAGTTGATATGTCTTTCTAGTAAAGATATCACGTAGTCTGAATATTGCCTTTAGGTGCCCTGGTAAACGTCCCTGAAATGCTCCCCAGGGTCCGTAGTAGCTACCTTAATCCAAGCCCAATCATTCCGAACTGCCCTTTTCCTGAACAAAGCCTCTCCAGTGCATCGTATGTTATGTATCTCGTAGCTATCACTCTTTTGGAACACTGATACTGGCGCCAGCATGCATTTGAAATACCTGACTGAATAGTCAAGAAGGCTCAATAAGCCTCTTTCTTCCCATTATAGCCCCTGACAATATTCCGATACAGCTCTGGCAACTTGAAGTGTAGTCCTGGTTACCTTGATAATGTCTGCGATATCAGATAACCTGGTCGCCGATTGTCTGGCATCGTCATCTTAGGTTTCTATGGTGAATCTCCATCCAGAAATCACTCACTGCCTCCTCTTTGTTGGTCTTCATTTTTGAAAATCTTCAATATGTTTCTCAAGCTTTGTCGATAGCTCAGCAGGCCCTCATAATGCTCGATCAGGGAGAAAACAATATCTTTCAAATTCAACACTCTCATCTCCATCACCATACACTTTGAGTGGTAATCAAGAATCTGGATCATGGCATTTACCTTATTCGAATCAGCGTAGGCGATCTTAGTTTGCTGCCGATGAGCCAACTCACTAACATCTATTGAAAACACTGGCATGGGTATATTTCCGAATCCCTCCACATACTCTCTAAAGTGTGATAGTAGATGCATCTTAATGAAATTAAAATGGGACTCCTCCCGAATCTCTTGAAGCTCTTCTAGGCCTCTTTCAAGGCTTCCGGAGCCTTGCAGTGCTTTTGTTCGATCCTTAGCGTCCTTACTCGTTTGTTTATAGGCCTGGAATTCGAGAAATATATCTTTATACTTGTGGAACTTTTCGAGATACCTTTGCAGATACTTTAGAGTCTCCTTTGTATGAGTTGTATACTGTGCCATGAGGTAGAAGTCAATCCACGCTCGTACACAGCGCAAAGCTCTACTAAAGTCGTTTGGTGTCATCATTGGAGGGGCTTGTAAAGTCACTGCAAAGACTCCCAAAACTATCCAGCCAAGATGTTGCATTTCTCTACACTGTTATTGTGTAGTTGTTCGATACGCTTTGTTAGGTACAGCAAGCCCTGTATAAGGCCCGATAGAGGACTAAGCTCGATCAAATTCCTCTATTCATTGTGTTTCTTAAGAAACACCTGAACCCACTCCATCATGTGTTTCAACTTGAATAGTCCCAGGTAGATTTTGTATAGTATCTCGAGCTTGTGGAGATCATAGGCGCTGGTCCTCGGCAAGGCCCAAAAGACATTGTAGAGGTGCTTTAAATACATTGATACTACAAGGTATTCCACGGGTGCTGCGTTAGACCTATTATCCTCATATTTTTTTACGAAATCAACATATCGCTCCTGAATCCATAGCGGGCTTTCGTGAAGGCTTCCCAAGCCTTTGAAATCAACCTCACATTTTGGGCAGGCATGATTGTTGATATTTCGTAGCGAGGCGTGTTCTGGCTGATCGGCAACCCAGGCACATGGTGTAACTGGGGTGCTATGATGGTGCACGACCGTGACTTCGATCAGGTAGAAATGGCAAAAAGGGAACGACGAGTTATCATCGGGCTCGTTCGATGGAAAGATAGCGTTTATTTGTTTGATCGTTATTTGTAGTCTAGAAACTTAGTAACTTTAAGGGGTCTCCTCGCTAGTAAAGATTCCCTCCCCCCCTCCCTGAGGCCAACCTGGGGCAACCGAGTTCTTTTATGGAAGTTCCGCGCCCTGGTTCCGATTCTCTTTCTTCCTGGCCCTCCGCCTCTCCATAGTCGGGGACACAGTGACTATTTTCTATCAGGGGAAGAGAAGAGTTGCTACCACACCACGGACGAATTTTCGTCCGAGTCAAATCACGCAATCACTGCCAAGAATGGGTCAGGATTCTAGGAACTAGCGGAAACAGCTGACCAGACAGCAATTGCTTATTCAGAGTATTTAGAATAGATTTGAGTGTTTGTAAAGCGAAGGTTTGCTTTGGTAGCTTGAGTCATACTCTTACTCCCCCCAAAGATGCACCGGGCTGAAACAGGAGGGTTCCGCCGGTTCCACGCTCCGGGGGTTATTTTTGGGGGTCTAAAACGTGTTTATTTTGCACTGTTTCCTCAATTCCGCAATGCGTTCATTCAACCACCCCAAATGGACCGGAGCATCGTCAGGATCCTTTCTGACGTGGTAAAGCATATTTTCCGGGCATCGATTGCTAAGTTATTGCGCCTCAAAGATTGATTGCCAAGGTAGGGTAACTTATGTTTGGGGTTACCCTTCCTTATTTGGCATACTCGTCCTTCTGCTCTAGTTTTGGTCCAGTCATCTAGCTTGACTTGTAAGACTTCTTGCTCGCTAGGATCCCTACCCTCTATACCAATGGAGGTAGGGGTTCATCTGCCTTTGTCTTCACCCGGCGATGAAGAACAAGCTGCGGTTACCCTAACGCCGTATGGCTTGACTGGTAGAACAGATACTTTTGTAACAGCCCCACTGTGGGCCTGTTACACATGGTATAGAGAAACACAGGCGATCGTAGCCATCAGCGCATGCTATAAGCGCACTGTTTTGTGCAGGGCCCTGAAGGCCTTCCAAAACCTATTCCAAACCTTTGTGAAGGGCTATCTGGTTCTCTCGACACTGTTCATTTAAACATAACGTATTTAAACGCGAACCCAACTATGACCGGGTAACCGCCCAACACCATCCAAGTTTGCCCCAGAAAAGAAAATCTTCGGATAGTGTTGTGAATAGCGTGAATAGCGCTAGCATTCAAGTTCCCATCATAATTCAGAGTTCAAAATGCCGAGACTTAAGGGTAAAAAATAGGAGGAGCGTGAGATATTAATTGAGAAGGCAATGACTCACTACAGAGAATCAGGCAACTCTGCAAATATCGGGATTTCGGCCGAGCCTTTTGGTATCTTTTGGAGTACCCTTCGGGATAGGCTAAATGGAGTACAAACCAAGTGAGAGGCACACAGGGCACAACAATTGCTAAATGAGGATGAAGAAGGATGCATAGTGGGATAGTGTCAATGCATGTACAATTGGGGTTTTCCTTGGAGATTATCTTTTATGAAGGAATTAGGCGCATATTCAGTTTTTAAACGGAAGGGCCTAGGGTGTAACGGAGCCACTTCAACTGTCTAGTATATGAGTACACACAGGGCCCGGTTACATGCTGAGAGTTATTGTTAGAAGCCAGTTGCACACTGACATGCAAGTACCGGCAGTGAGGTTAACTACCAGCTGTCAGAATAACTACATTCTGAGCACTAGGAAGAGGATCTATTCATGGGAGTAAGAACTGACGAGTTCGACCCTCGCCAACGATTAGAGGGCCAACCAGAGAGAAGCTCTGAGAGCTTGGCGATCCTCTATATCCTCCGAGCATTGGGAGTCCGCCAGTATCAGCAGGGACCATGCCTGGGAAGTCTACAATAAGCAAAGAACTCTACAGCAACGATTAAGCTTACACCTGAGCGGCAGCTCATTTCATGCAGGCCGCGGTTGTGCGACAACCAAGGCTGTAGGTGTTACAACGGCTTTGACTAAGGATGGTTGCCTTCGTAACTGGAAGCACCTGCTAACGCTTAGAGGGAAGTGGGGTAGCGGTGGTATTGCTTCCCGTCCGCTAGAAGGCATCACCGGAACTTATTAAGGAAGTAGGAGTAGGGGAACGGAATCCTTTGGAGTATAAGTACTCAGGGTCCTCCCCGCTCAACAATCCGATCATTCCAGTCTTCATCAGAGCTATTAAGTATTTTCTACTGGGTAGCAGAGCCCTTAAAGATTATTGAGTTTTAAGCGAAAGAATCTTTGAATAATCTAAACCTGATTTCTATCTTGCATGGCTACATCTTACTGTCGGATTCTAGCAATAAGTGGAAAGACCATCCCCGTTACACTATGTTTACTAGTTTTCTTTTCGGTCTCAGTTTCTTTGTTTCTCTTGAATAAATTCATGAGTGTGTTTTCGCCTATTTGATTGTTTCCAAGCACTATGAGGATAGATTTATGGCATGAAACAGCTGGTCTGTAAGTACTCTGCCAAAGTTACATTTGCTACAAAGACACTTCCAACCGCTACCAGACTATCACACAAGGCCTTGCTATATCATCGCTTAGCAATAGAACAAAAGGATCTTTTGATCTTAGTAGTGCCCGCAGCTATCAGCAATGGAAAAAAGATAAAGAGAACCAAGCCCAGAACCCGAACAGAGGCGAAGAAGGTTGGAAGAGAAGCTTCCGTCCTTACCAGTACATGGCAAAGGCCAATCCTGAAGGCAGGGCTGTCATGGACAGTGAAGAACAAAGCTGAAGAGGCCCAATAGACGTTCCTCTTTGACACCGGTTGTACAGGAGCAATCCTCAACCAGAGTTTTGTCAGGAAGCATGGAATTCCCTTGGTGCGGCGAGATCAACCTCTGACAATGTATGATGCTCAAGGAGATGTCGTGATGGGCGGAGGAGAGTATTACACTCACCCAGTCCACATGAGCATGGGAGATCATAGAGAGATACTCCGTTTAGAGGTGGCTACTTTGGAAGAAGAAATATCCGGCTACTTGCCAATTGCTTGGGCAAGAAGGCATAATCCGGATATCAATTGGGAACTCAATACCATAAGCTGGTGAAGTGACTACTGTAAGCAGAATTGTCTCCCAGCAGCGATCAAGTTTGAACTCAGCTCTTCATACCAGATGATGGAAGAAGAAGATGTAGTGTATCAACTGGCCGCTTCAGTATGGCATGATGAAGATGGAGGAGATATCGCTGAAAGGATACCTCTCTGCTATAGGGACTGGGCTGATGTATTCAGTCAAGAGAAGATACAGGAGCTGCCCCGCACTCCCGAAATGATATGAAGATCAATCTCTTGCCTGGTACCGCTCCCCCATTTGGCCCGCTATACCCATGTTCCGCTCCAGAGTTGAAGGCCCTCCGGGAGTATCTAGACAAAGAGTTGTCTTTGGGAAAGATCTCCAGATCTAATAGTCCAGTAGCGGCACCCATATTGTTCATACCTAAGAAGAATTGGACGTGGCGGATTTGTGTTGACTACAGAGGTTTGAACAAGGTCACTGTCAAGGACAAGTACCCTCTGCCTATCATGAGCGAGCTCAGGGATAGGTTGTTCAAGGCCAAGATCTTCACAAAGATAGACCTGAAGAATGGCTTCAATTTGATCAGGATAGCAGAAGGGCATGAGTGGAAAACCGCTTTCAGAACCCGCTATGGACTGTATCAGTATAATGTGATGCCATTTGGTCTATGCAACGCCCCTTCCGCCTTCCAGGCAGTGATCAATGATGTGTTAAAGGAACTATTGGATGAAGGAGTGGTTGTCTATATCGACGACATCCTCATCTACCCAGAGACTGAGGAAGAGCAGAAAAGCTAGTAGAGAAGGTTCTACAGAAGCTCCGAGAAACATAACTATGCGCCTCCATCAGCAACACATCCTTCCATGTCCGAGAAGTAGAATATCTTGGCTATCATGTCTCGGAAAAGGGAGTATCAATGTCAGAGGACAAGGTAGAGGCGGTTCAGGAATGGACAGTGCCCCGAAATGTCAAGGGAGTACAGGGTTTCCTAGGGTTCCCAAATTTCTATAGCCGGTTCATTGAAGGCTTCAGTAAAGTTGGCAAACCACTTACTAACCTCTTGGAAAATGACAAGAAATGGTATTGGACCGCAGCATGTGGACAAGCATTTGAGGAACTCAAGAGGCTGTTTACAAGCGCTCCAATCCTTCTCCATTTTGACCCTAGCAGAAGAACTGTGGTTGAAACTGATGCCAGTGACTTTGCCAAAGGAGCAATGCTATCTCAGTATGGGGAAGATGGAAAACTACACCCGCTCGCTTTCTATGCCAAGAGATTCTCCCCAGTTGAAATCAACTATGACATTCATGATAAGGAGATGGGAGCTATTGTAGCCTCTTTCCGGGAATGGGAGCATATG